CGCAGGACCGATCGTCGTGGAGATCTTTGGGGGAGGCCTATGTCCAGCAGTGGACGTCTTCCGGGCTGCGATGATGATGATGATGAGAGTTATTGAGAAGACGATCCAATTTGTTTAAAAGGTCAACATTCATGTCAGAACAGCACACATCAGCATAATCAATAGTGGGAAGGACTAAGGATTGGACAAGGAGAATTTTTGTGCTAATGGGCAGGAAGTTTTTAAACCTATATAAGTTACGCAGCGTCAGCGCAACTTTACGACTAACCTCACTAACACAGTCGTTCCAACCGAGAGAACTGTCCATCAGCAAACCAAGATTTTTTACCGATGAACTGTAAGGAATAGGTTGGTTGTTGAAGAGAACTGGAGGTAAAGTGCCATAATGAATTTTGCCAAGTTGTTGTTTGCTACCAAAGATTATCGCCTGGCACTTGGTAGGCTTAACCGATACTCCAAACTTGTTGGACCATTTGAGTATATGATCGAGATCACTGTTCAGTTGGTCGATGGCCTCATAAAGCTCAGAAGCCAAAGCTTGACAGTAAACCTGAAGATCGTCTGCATACAAATGATAAGAGCATTTAAGATTAGTAGTGATAAAATCAATAAAGATGGAGAAAAGTAAGGGAGACAAAATACCGCCTTGAGGGACGCCAGCGACAAGCTCACACCAATCCGACAAAGACTGATTAACACGAACTGCCTGCTGACGGCCGCGAAGATAAGATGTAAGCCATCTAATAACTGAAGATGAAATCCCAAGATGTAAAAGGATGGCGAGTAAGATATCGTGATCTACGGTGTTGAATGCGTTGGAAAAATCAACTAAAACGAGAACCGTTAGTTTGGATTTTTCCATTCCCTTCCTCACATCCTCAGTAATTTTAAGCAGGGCAGTAGTAGTGCTGTGTCCAGGGTGAAAACCAGATTGAAAAGGGCTTAACAGTTTGTTTTTATAAACAAACTCAGATAACTGTCTGTGGACTACAGCTTCTAGTATTTTAGATAGGAAGGGTAGGATAGAAATGGGTCTAAAGTCCTTAGGAAGTTCTGGGGATGATGCTTTAGGAAGAGGAAGTACAAATGCATTTAACCATGATTCAGGAATCTCAGAGGAAAACATGGAAAAGTTGATGATGTGAGTAATGATAGGTAGTAGATGTTCGAGTAAGAGAATAACCATAATTCTACTCACATCATCAATACCGATACAGTTGGATTTAATAGAGGAAATTATCTTGTAGACTTCATCATCAGTTACCGGAGAAAATATAAATTTATCAAGAGTTCGTTTAGGCCATGAAGTTATCTCGGATAAGGTGATTGATTTCTGAAAATCACTGATCGTAGAAACTGTGGAAAAATGCCTGTTCAAATCATTTAATAATAATAATAATAATATATTTATTTTTCTCCACAAAATCGTACATAATATAGAGTGCAAAAATACAGATTTGTGGAGAACTGGTGCCTGTACTAGGTATCCGAAGAACCTGTATCACGGGTCACCAGGTCCCCCCACTAGATCTTACATGATCTTACATTAGATGAAGGATATGGCTACTACATTTAATGATACAGAGAATATTATGTAAAGAAAGAACAATTAAATCTAGTGGTAGGTTAATAATGTAAAAGTATCCAACAGGGAAAGAACACTTATATGCTTGGGTATGGCCCTACGCTATAAGTCTTTAGTGTTGATAAATTACCTCTAGACACAGTATCCAATTTACAATTTGTTTGGCTTTCGGTAGTTTATGTTATGGGGTGAATTAATTTTTCTGTTTCTTCGTATGTGAGGTTTTGTAACCATTTAGAGATCAATTTTTTGCAAGTATACTTGTTGAGAGCAAATATAGACAATTGAGTATTTACTTGTTTATAAAGGAAAGGACCAAGATAACAAAAGAACCTCTCAATGAATCGGGTATTGAAGGAAGTTATTGGAAGTATAAGTCTGTTATTACGTGTAGATGTTTGAATGTCATAAGTTAATAGTGTATGTTGTTTAATTATTGAAAGAAGGATAAAAAGTTGTCTAACTGTGAGAACCTGGCAGCATTTATACAGCTCGGTTGTAGGATATCTATAGGGTTTAAAAGTACATACTTTCAGTATAGCTCTTTGAGCTCTTTCTACGACAATCATATGAGATTTAGCCGCGGCGCCCCATGACGTAATGCCGTAGGTTAGTATAGATTGACATAATGCCATGTATGTCATTTTAAGTATTCTATCATTAGCAATATACCTTAGGTGTTTAAAAACATATAATAATTTTCTAATTCGGTTACTTAACAAAATTATATGGGGCTGGAATGATAGGTGGGTGTCAATTGTAATTCCTAAATATTTGGTTGTATTGATCATTTGCAAGTTTGGACAATTACAAGTAGATTTTGCACAATTTTGAGACAAATAAGTATGCATATATAGTTTAAAGTTGTTTGGGTCTGGGCGTTTGTAATTTTTAATAGTGAAAATCATATAGTTAGTTTTTTTAATATTTAGAGTTAATGTGTTTGATGTTAACCAGGCACTCACTGTATCTAAGCCCTTCTGAGCTGAATCATATGTTTCAGTCCAGGTGATACCAGTAAAAATAAGTGCGGTATCATCAGCAAATGAAACTACTTTACAGTTTTTGAGTGATAGCTTACACAGCTCATTTATATAGACCAAAAAGAGACTAGGTCCTATAATACTGCCCTGGGGTATTCCGAAAATAACCTTTTCATCAGAGCTTGTATATTCACCTATATTCACCCGTTGAAAGCGATCAGTCATATAATCACGTAATAAATTTAACTGAGCACCTCTAACACCGATATTTTCTAATTTGGTAGTCAAAAGAGGAATAGAGACTGTGTCGAATGCTTTAGCGAGATCGAGATAAATGACTATGCATTTTAAGTTAGAGTCAAGAGATTTTGCAACATGATTTACTAGTGTATCGACAGCCTGCGATGTTGATTTACCCGGACGGAATCCAAACTGGCATTCGGACAGGAGGTCGTTGTACTCGATATATTTCACAAGCCGTTTAGTGATAATACGCTCAAGAATTTTAGAAAGTGCAGTTAATATAGAAATAGGCCGAAAGTTATCAACAAGATTATTAACTCCTGTTTTATATATGGGTTTAACCAAAGCTATTTTGTAGGCTTTTGGAAATATGCCCTTTTGTATACAAAGGTTGCTAATATGAACAATTGAAGGTATTAGTTGTTTTTTAAATGTTTTCAAAAATTTGGAGGAAATGCCATCCCAGCCAGCAGCCGTATCGCTTTTTAAGGAATCAATAATACAGTTGATTTCACTTTCGTGTGTTTCAGTGAGAACGAAAGAATTGACGGTAGTAGAACAAGTTGAAACATCAGATGGTGTATGATTAGTAGTAATTTTCTCTGCCAAAGTTTTACCTATGTTTGCGAAGAAAGTATTTACTGCATTTACTGACTCTGTTGGTGTTTCTTTAATTGCTAATAGAGATTCAGAGTGGCTTTTTGGTTTATTCATATTTGTTGCATTTCGAATGGCACTCCAAAGCTTTTTGGAGTTGGAGCCCGCTTTATTTAGTTCCTCTTGATCATATGTACGTTTAACTTTTTTAATTAAATTACACAAGTAATTTCTGTATCTTTTATAGGTTACTTGGAGAGTTTCATTGTTTGGATTTGTTTTGAGTTTGTAATGCATATTATCACGAATACGCATACAACGCAACAATCCGGGGGTAATCCAAGGCTTGAGAGCTCTTTCGTTTAGATACATGTATTAATTTTGAGTTTGAAAGAATACATCTGTTTAATTGATTAACAAAGAAATTGGTAGCTACATTAGGATCAGATGAACCAAGAATGAGCGAGAAGTCCATCTTGTCCATATCAGAGGCAAGGTTTTTATGATCCAAAAGGAGAACCTTCTTTTTGGTATTGCATATGTAAGATTTTTGTGTGTATAAGGCGAGTATTACTGACTGATGATCGGTAATTACTGTATTCATCACTATCGTTTTAGCTTTAAAAGTTGACTTCATAATAAAGTGATCTAAGCATGCGTCATTACGAGTGCCAAGCGTATGAGTAGGAAGAAGTCCATGATACGCAAGCAGATCTAGGTATTTATTTGTATGGCTGTTGTTATCCGTACACGCAATATTTATGTTTATATCGCCTACAATTATTATATTTTTACAAGGAGAATATTTGGAAATAATCATATCCAATGAGCTAAGAAAACTTGTTATGTTCTTGAACGACGGTGAACGATATACTGCTATTATAACAAAGTTTTCGTTAATTTTTATTATTACGCTATTTGAGTCGATTAGGATATTATGTGTGTCTACTAGAATATTTGAGAGAGTCTGATTGACGTAAATAACTACTCCATCATTTTGATGACAGTTATTATCGCTAGAAAAGTAAGAGTAGCCTTCTAATTGAGGGATGTGAGGGGTGCGTGGTAGCCAGCACTCTGTAAGGACAATTATATCAAGTTTAATTTTGACTCTAGTTAGTAGCATGAGAAGTTGAGGAAAGTTAGCAGTAATACTGCGTATATTTTGATTCAAAATAGTCAAGTTGTTTAGTGAGTTAGATAATTCATCAGCGGTGGCTTCGGGAGTGCAAATCTTAGCCGTAGATGTAGCAACGTTATCAAGGTCAGTTAGAATATCTAGATTATTGAATTTTGTAACTATTAATTAAAGGATGAAATTTCAAGGGACAATAGGTATTGATGTGAGTTTTTGAGAATATATGCACTGTAAGTATAAACAAGTAATAGTGGTAATAATGATGTTTAGTTTGAAGTAAATTATTAGTTTTGTGTTGACATGTTTGGTTATGTAAATTCTTATTGATAAATTTAGAATTGGTCACAGAAAATGTTGACAGGAATAATTGCATTTCAAGTAAAATGATGGATACAATCAGGAGTAATACAGAAAATTTAAAATTAAATATATAAATGAAACAGTAGAATCTTAGTCATTGAGTTAATGCCTTAATATCGTTTTCAGAATTAATAATTAATTGTGAGGCCCCTTCAGACTTGCGAACATAAATCCTTCCATAGCGGGTCCAGCAGAATTTGTAGTTGTTTGTCTGAGCTGCTGTTCTTGCTAGGTAGAATAGTCTCTTTGTTTTTGATGAGAGACTTTCTGATATATATATTGGTTGTGATGGACCACTTATATGTAGATTTGTAGAAGAAAATTTATTGGACTTGTTCTCCTTATTGTAGTTTTTAATTGAATGAATGAGATTGTTTCTTAGTATGCTACTATTTAGTTCGGCAATTATAGGTTTGCTGCCGCTAGCCGTAGCATTTACTCTATAAACATCCCTTATATCTGAAGTCTGTAAGCTAATGTTAAGCGCTGACCCAGTGACCTTCACCAAATTTAAGAGGTCTTCCTTAGTTTCGTTCCTTTGCTGAGGTACATTTCTCATCTCTATGCTAGATGATTTTAGATTACGTTCCATGTTTTCAAGTTTGTTTTCCAGTAAGGAGATGAGGTTGATATTTCGTTTGCGTTCCTCTTCCAATAACGTCACTCGATCTAGCAATCCGTCATATTTAGATGACATAAAGTCTAAGGACTGCCGTATGTCGGCGTTTTGTTCCTTAATTTCGGTCATTGCATTTATTAAGGTATTAAATTTAATATCCTGATCCGTTTTCCAGGTTGTAAACATTTCCATAAAATAGTCTTTAATTTCAGTAGACTCACTGACGCGGTGTCGTTTAAGACCCCTTGATATAATGTGTGAAACAGAGCTGCCTTGTGGCGTGTCAGGATCAATTTCCTGGGATAGTGATGGGATATTCGGTGCTGACACTGATGTTGGTGTCTGTGGTGGAGTACGTTTTAACATCTTGTAGATAGCCGTAACAACGAATTTGTAAGTTTGCACAGTCGACCAGTGCAATTTATTTACTCAAAAATTTGTTTATTAAAAAGAGTTTCTGTTAAACAAAGCAATCCAGTGTTGCGCCGCCCTTTAAACTTACTTTAGTTGTTAATGCAATATAGCACTATAGCAAGCGCATGCGTGGTCCAGTTAAGGCGACGCCGTGATAAACTATTACTTCAAAATTGGGCCCCGCGCTCTGCGCGCCTCATGCACCCCGATAGTTTTACGTATCGCCGATCGACCGCCAGCGCTCGCTCGCTCTCCCCGTACCACGATATCACGAACACGCGTCCGTGTCGCAATGTAACGCGTGAATCAAGTAGACGAAGCTTCGGTCCCCAATTGAACAAAACTATTACGGAGTCTTCCTGTTTGTTTATATAATTTATATTTATGAAGGCACATTGATATTTTAGAATTTACAATACAGTGGAACTAACTACGATACGAATTAATTATAAAGATTCTTAAAGTAAAGAATTAAATAGAAATATTGAGGTAGAGTTACATATTCCCGCGATTATAATTAACGTAAACTAGTGCTTTTATTACTATCTTTGAAAGAAACACCAAAAAATAATCTTTGTGTTTTCCGTATATATTGTAATTGGTAATTACGATGTTTATTTATTTGCCGACATTTTTTTGAAACAGCTAGATATTTTAATGTATACTACATTAACTTACTTACGTTAAATGAAATGTGAAAATATACGAAGGTGAGTTACTTTATAAAAGAGACAGTAAGTCTACGTTTCTGTGAATGATAGGTATATCAATTAAAAAATCTATATATATTATATATTTGATACAATAAACCTAAATTTAGCAATAATGTATGTGACTTTAATTTTATTTATTTGATACGCGTAGTGGACATTATTTCTTTATGTTTTAGAAAGTATATTTTTAAAAATGCGTAAGTAATTTAACATTATATGTAAGTAAAGTACGTAAAGATATACACTTTATGACAAAATAGTAAAACTTTTACAGTAATTTATAAATTATTATAATAAATATTAAGTTTTAATTACATGTAAAAAGGACGTGAACAATTACAACCTAATCATAAAAGATCTATTATCTTCATACAAATGAAATTATTGAATAATTATAGGTTTGAACATGATTATTTATATTTATATGCATAATTTAAATAAAAAAATATGACTATTCTGCAAACCTTCTCTATATAAACTATAAGTACGCGAAATCTCATATTCATCCGTCCGCGCTGTTTTTCGTAAAAAGGATAAAAACTTATTACGATAAAAAGAAAAGGATAAAAAGTTGTCACTACATACGTTTTAATAAATTTATATAATACTTTTCATTATTTCACTTTTTTATTTATTTATTTCCTTGGACCTACCAAGGAATCTTAATTTTACGGCAAAATAATAAGGGAGATGGATAGTGGACATGTTTGCCATGAGTGAGCGAGACAGATATGACGCCACTTTTACCAAAGGCAACAAAAGTAAGTAAAATAATTAAAATAAAGAAATATCTTAACCTAGTTTAGGTTTATTTAAATAAGGATAATATTGAGGAATGATAGTTTGAACTCGTTGTACGTGAAACGGATGCATTTCGGGTCTTTGTAAAATACGATGTGCTGTGCTATTACAATAAGAAAGAACGGGAAAAAGAAAAAAAAAAAGAAGAAAAGTATTTTCGTTTGTGTACAAACGAATGAGTGCGGCCGGTACATATAAGCAGTGATCTGGATAGCGCTCTAAATTTGGATATCTTTCACGATAAAGCCTAGCGGCAGCAATTGCATTGCATCTGCATTCCTCATAAATGAGGTGCTTGTTCGCAATTTTTTGTGAAGTAAATAACAAGGATACCAACACAAAAGTCCAATTCCAAAAGAGACAACCCAAAGTTGTCGGTATGGAATCAACAAGTTCAATTCACAAAAATCCAAGTCCAAAAAGAGAAGCCAACAACAGCGAATACGGAAAGACGCGCAGTAGGCTGAGCTGAAGCTGAAACAGAATGAGCAAAATGTACTAACTGGTGTCAGACTGGTAGCGTAGCCATTTGCTTGGTATGGCGACTGTATCTGTTTCATTCGCGCGCGTTTAAACGACGCATCTCCGTCTCACTGCGTGGCACATCTGTCTCCCTCGCTCACGACAACATGTCCACTACCCATTTCTCTCATCATTTTTCCGTAAGATTAAGAACCTACTACTATAAGCTTGTGTGAATAAGAAACATTTGAACGGAATAAAATGGGTTAGCAAAAATCGGGTTACTTGAGGTTTTTTTCTCGTTTTTTTTTAGTATGAAACTAACAAATATTGTACATTTACAATCCTGATTAAATGTCCGAACTTTTAATGGCACTTGCCAACGCACTTTAGTACATTTTTTTAAAAGAGGGCTTTTGAAACTCGTAGTCTTAATTCTAGAAAACTTGGGGCAATTGTGTCATTATTTTTTACTGTGATTCTAGAAATGTTATTTGGCTTTATGGTTACAAAGTTTAAATGAACAAAAATAATAAAAATTAACCACAATGACCGAATAATGGTTATAGTTTGACCAAATTTCTAAGTTTTCTTTAATGCCCCTAATTTTCAAACTGCATGGAATAGATTTTTTTCTGATTTTTCTCATGATGGTTACAATCAATTCTCTCACAGCTTGAAATTGAGTTCTGGGACAGCCTGTATAGTATAATCGAAGCCAAATATTTCACCATTACTTTGATTTGCTTTCCATAGCTACAAAGAAAAGTGCTTATCTAGACTTACTACAGATAAAAAGTACTTATCGGGGAAAATAAAGTTGAAAATATGTCACAAATATTTATGTGATACTCCAACATATAGTCGGACAGACAACAATGATTAATTAAATAATATTTTTGTGTAGTTTTTTGATTACACTTAATATGTAGTAACATTGAGAAAAAAATACTTTACTTTGGATTCAATATTATATATTATGAGTATTAGTACGTATAACATTTATTCGTATAAGTAAATAAAATAGTGTAAAAAATGTAAAAAGGGTAACTAAATGATTACATTACTTGAAATAGTAAAAGAATTAAGTTACAGCAATATTTAATTTTTGTATAAATTCATAGACGACTCCACGATTTTACTTTGTTATAATGAGTCAGTCGATTTTTTCTTTGGGTGTAGGGTTGTCACTTCGCCAATCCTAATAGCCGGACAGACCATCCAGTTTGGCGGGACATATTGGTAAAAAGGCCGGATACCCTACATTATTGAGGGTTTTGTGTCTCAATATCATGTAAATATTTATTACAAATAAAATTTTGTAAATTATTATTAATATGTGTTACTTTAGGTGCGACCCGTCAAAATATTTAAAATTTAAATTGGCCCGTTGATAAAAAAGGTTGCTCACCCCTGTTCTAGATAAACAGTTATCAACATTTTAAAATTCTTCTTAACGTCTAATGAAAGGTAATTGCATAAATAAGTATTATTTACCTGTACCTGTTACTTCAGCAACTAACGAAATAAAAAAACATCTAAGCAAAACAAAACTTCTTGAGTTAAGAAATAAAAAATAAAATTAGTTTTACAATAAAATAATGTAAAATCCTACCAAACGGCGTACAAGACTATTTATTTTAGCCAGATGCCAAAAAAAGTCCCGTCAAAATCAGTGCAACCATTTCAGAGATCAGCCGGAACAAACAGACAGACAGACAGACAAAATTGGTAAAAAATGTAATTTTGGTGTATGTAACGTATTTATATTTATATGCATGTAGTAAAAAACGGTTATTTCAATATTACCAACAAACACTCCAATTTTATTTATATGTATAGATAATGGGAGTGCCCCATTTTTATTTATAAATAACTACGAAATCAAAATAATGTAAAATTTGTTTATATTTTCTTAACCATTTCTTTACATTAATACTAAAAGTTTTTTATCATTTTTAACAATTAATTGTCACTACTTTACAAATTATGACTTAGTATTACATTCGTAATATGTACAATAAATCATTACTAACTGTATTAACTTAAATACAGTAATTGTTAAATGTAAAATTAGTAACCACCATAAGGCACCGTACTATAGCGTACGCAGTATAGTATGACGAAATAATTTACGATTTGATAGCGAGGCGAGCTCTCCGTGCTAAGCACAGGTCCGACGTTGGCAGGGGCCGGGGACTGACTGACTTGCTCTAACTCTCATACAAAACAACTTGTGAGCAAGAGATTTTTTAGCGGAAAAACAGTTTATTTTGTTTAAAATAAAAACTATTGGTTATTATATACATCTATAATTGTACTATTTATGTGCCTATTTAGTATAATGTATATTGGAAAATTCGAGTCTTAAATCTGTCCCGTTTTCTTATACGAAACAAAAATATATTTTATAAGACCAATCTTTGAGATTTTTTTCTCTACTACAAAAGTTAATCAATCATGTAACGGGAACTGTCAATATGATGTCAAAGATCTGAAAAATGAAATACCTAAATATCAGCCCCGAATGATTTGTAATTGCTGAGAAAAGTTAAGGTATCTGAGGTCAATATTTGCGATGCGTCGCCTTAAATACCGCCGCTACGCTGCCACCGCTTGTTGCGTATTACAATATTGACCTAGGTCAGGAATTTGCAGTTTGTGGTTGCAGGTAGAAGAATTAATTTCGATAACTTTTGCTTGATTATACACTGTTTGCACTATTTTTTATCCAAAATAACAATCTCTATTTATACACTGTAACACTCATAATGAATATTATTACAGTTTATACTATTTAAAACGCAATGATTGAATAATCTTTTAATTAATTTGAGGAGCTATGCAACACACGTCCGTTCGTAACCGTAGCCGACGGGGGGGGGGGGGGGGATTAATGAAAGAGATGACGTAAAACCATTAGACTGTTTGCACAGCCCAAGTGATTTGAGAAACTTCCAGGTATTGGCCGAGGAA